CATCACCTGTGAGAGGGCCTTCACCTGTGAGAGGGCCATCACCTGTGAGAGGGCCTTCACCTGTAAGAAGACCTTTATCACCTGTGAGAAGGCCATCATTACCTGTGAGAGGGCCTTTACCTGTGAGAGGGCCTTTATCACCTGTGAGAAAGCCATCATTACCTGTGAGAAGGTCTTTACCTGTGACAGGGCCTTTATCACCTGTGAAAGGGCCTTTACCTGTGAGAGGGCCTTTATCACCTGTGAGAGGGCCATTGGCAGCATGATCCCAGAATAGACAGAAGGGCCAAATGAGACCCAGTGTACTGCGTGCTCAGTACAGATCCCAGCACATTCACACACCCGAGAGTCTAGAGATCTTATTAATAATACAAACCTTCAGCCTCTGGTGGCTGGCTCTGCCCCCACCCCCAACGTCTTTCTAAGGATTGAAGACAGCAGCTGGCAGTGGGAGGTGGTTGCTTTATATATAAGATGAGGAGAACAAAGGGAAAATAGAACAAGGGGGTGGTTAGTGGCTACACCAACCGTCCCCCTCGAAACTTGGGGGAGGGATCTAAGGTCCCAAGTCGCCAGCAGCCCGTGAGAGCCTTGCCTCCTGGGATAGGGCAATAGGACTATTCTGGTTTGGACCAGCACTCCATACTGGAGGGGAAATTTCCTGCCTGGCTGTAGGGTTGGCCTCTGGAAAGCAGGAAGTAGGTTAAGTGAAGTCCTGGGGTTTCTCTCCCCCTTTCCAAGGCAACATGCAATATTCACTAGAAGATTCTCCGTAGGTCCCATGAGCTTCAAAGGCTGTACCCCTTCAGCTGCCCACCCACCTTGGTTGTTATGGAGCCCATGACCTTACCCTCTACCTCATTAGGGCTGTCCTTAGCATCCTCCACTCTTCTTGGAGTCTGTGGTTCTTGGTCTTTGTGGTGCCCAGGGGGCACTAGGATGCCATTCTCTGGGCTTTGAGTCATTGCTCCTCCTGATGAAGTCTTGGCACTTGGTTTCCAACTGTATGTGAGAAGGCTATCCACTTCCCTTGAAGACACGGACTCACGCTAGGGCAGGAGGAGGGGGCCAAGGTGTTCCCTGTACTACAGATGGCAGCAGAGAGCCACAACACAGGTAGATATGCCTTCTCTAAGGGGGTAAATAGCTAGACAATAGGTGTGCCAAGACCATACTTGGAATGTGGAGCCCAGGAGGAAGCAGGTACCAAGAGGACAAAAGCCTGGCAGCCTAGGCCTGATCTTGCCTGGAGTTGCTTCCTGGTGAGATCTTGGGCTAACTATTCATTCTCCGAGTCTTAGTTTCTCTACTTGTAAATGACAGCAATTCCTCAAAGGTCTGCTGAGGATTACATGACATGTTATGCAAGGGAGGAAGCCCAGGGGCTGTCAGGTGGGGACAGAGGAAGAAATGCTAAGGCCCAGGGGCTGCAACCTCTTTAGGCAGCCAGCCCCAGCTTTTCTTCATCCTCTCCTAGGCAGTGAGCTGCTGTGCTTCTGCAAGCCCTACCTTCTCTTGCCGGCAAACGATCTCCTCAGTGAGCCAGTCTTAGTTCCCAGGGCTATATCCCACGTGCCTGGCCACGGGCCAGCAAAGACATTGTGTTCTTTGTGGTTATGCCCCTCTCCTCTTGGCTGGCAGCCACCACAAGGAGACGGCCTGGGTGACCACGGATGGCATGGACCTCAGAACACAGAGGAAAGCAGAGTTCCTGGGAACAAGAAAAGAACCCCCTGGGCACCTGTCCCGGAGATTCACGACCCAGACCTCAATCAGAGGAGGGCATGGTCAGCTGGCCAGAACAGGCTTTTAAGAAATAGACTGAACCGGGCGGTAGCGGTGCAGGCATTTAACCCCAGCACTCTGAGGCAGATGCAGGTGGATCTGTGAGCCTGGTCTACAGTGTGAGTTCCAGAACAGCCAGGGTGCTATCACAGAGAAACAGAGTCTCAAAACAAAACAAAACAAAACCTTTATATTCATAACTGTGTAAGTGTGATTCAGTTGTGTCTGCCACTAGCTTTTCCAGAAGGAATGTGCTGTCAGTGAGATGCTGCCTCTGCCCACAGGTGCCTGGGCTGCCCAGGTATCTTTTCTGGCTTCTTATAGACTGTCCACACAGCAGCTTACATGGCTTGGTATTAAGCTAGACACCAATGTAGATAAAAAAATTAAAAAAAATAATAAAGGACCCTGAAGTGAGAACCCACAAAAACCTATCTAATAATTTATTAAGGGGTGCAATGAAACGCAAACTCAAAAATACAGAACAGGGCAGACGCTGCTGACTCTGCTGCTGCTGTCTTTTGCTCTCCCAGAGCATGAGGACCAATGCAAGGCTGGCTCTGCCTCAGATCATCAAAGAGCACGCTTGTGGCTCCTAACCTCTGTTTTCTCTAGTCACATCTCCAGAATAAACCATGCCATGGCAAGTTATCCCCAAATGTCATTGGCTAAATGGATCGAGCTCCCACAACAGGACCCTGTGACTAGCTACATAGAGTCATAGGCAAATTTGTCTCTGTGATCAGAAGTACAATGGGTATGTGCAAAAGCTAAAATGGCTCATTTATTCTGGGTGTGCGCATGCCACGGAATCTGTACAGAGGTCGAGGGTACCTTAGGAGAGACAATCGTCTCTTACAACTTAAGAGAGACAATTGGGTCCTACAGATTGATCTCAGGTCATCAGACTTGGCAGCAGATGACTCTGCCTACTCAGCCATCGAACCTATCTCCACCTTATTGTTTGGGACAATGAATATTTAGTCCCTGAAGTTGGTAATATGGCTAGACTGGGTGGCCAGAGAGACCCAGGGATCCTCCTGTTTGGCCTCCAGCTCAGGGGTTACAGGTCATGGTGTCACGCCTGGCCTTCACACAGGGGCTGGGGACCAAGCTCAGGTACTCACACTTGTGCAGCAAGCACTTTACTGAGCCACTGCCACCTCCCTGTTGCTCGCCCTGTGGATTTCAGGAGGGGGTTTTGTGATTTGGAAAACATAGCTTCTCAGTTGTTCACACTGTAGTTTTGGAGTCATGTATGTCACATGTTAGCTGAGTCATGGAAATAATTGTAAAACTTTTGTGTGCAGAAATAATTAGAATACATCTTTTCTATGCATGCCACGCTTGCCTTATACTGAACAAAAACTAAGGCTGGGAGTGTCTTAGTTTCATTTCTGTCACCATGATAAAATATCCTGAAAAAAAATTCAGGGGGCAAAGTATTGCAGGTTATTTTGATCACACCATGACATTCCCAAGACTATCAATAAAGTTTACCTTGAATCAGGGGGCAGAGCCAGCAACTCGGTGACCAGAATTAGTCATAGAGAAGCCAGCAATTTGGTTAGCACAGGAAGAAAACAGGGGGGCGGGGAGGGGGGCACACGATTGCTTTGGCAGATCTTTTTCATTTAGGGACAAGTGAAGAGACCCATCTCTTTCTGGATCTCCAGCCAAAAAGCAAGGACAGCTGGTTGCTTCTCCGCTTCTCTGATCTAGCAGCTTTTCACCCCCACATCTGACTTCTGAGTCTTTGTTGGTCAATAAAATGATAGAGAGTTAGTTTAAACCTACATATGGAGACTGCAACAGACAGAACCGGGGCCACGGACCAGAAGGCCCTCCAGGCCGCAGCCTGAGTGGCCGCGGGGCGGCAGACAGTAATGAAAATATCAGTAGATTCATGTGCAGCCACTAAGCCGGCAGAAAAACATCATGGAAGGGTTTTTTTGTGTCTGACTTCCAGGCTATAGTCACTGTGGGGAGGTCATAGTGAGCTTGAAGCATGAATCTCATCACATTCAAAATCAAGAGCAGACAGGCTCGCTTGCTTGAGCTTCGCTCGGATTCTAGACTCTACACAGTTCAGGACCCCTTTCCTAGGATTGGTGCCACCCACAGTGGGCTGGGTCTTTCTGCATCAGTTAACTTGAGACGTCTCCCACAGACAGGTCACAGGTCATCCCAATGGAGATAGTCCCTCATTGAGACTCTTCCCAGGTGGTTCCAGGTGGTGTCGAGAATTAAAGCTAACCATCAGAGGGCTCATTAGGTAGTAAACTATGATTTCAGGTGGGGGGAACAGGGAGGGGACACTTGATTAAAAGCCATGACAACATCTCTTTAGCTTTTACCCTTAAACTGTAATTATCTTTCCACACACTGTGAGGAGGAAAAAGGAGTCGAGGAGGAGGACTGTCCAGGAAAGTATCCAGCTACAGTGCCCTATCATCTACCTGCCTGTCAGTGGCCGCACATCCTCTGGAGGCAAGTGTCATGCCCACTCTACAGACAAAACTGCTGCGGCCTAGAACATAACAGAGGAACCAGATCTGGGGACCCTGGAGCTCATAATCCCAGCCACTACTCTACCTTGGCTACTGCTAAACCAGCCTCACTTGCCAGCATCCACGTGAGGCAGATTAAGGGGAGAACAGATGCAAGGCAGGCACTGATCAGCCGCAGCTATTCCAGGCTGGAGCCCCCTCAACACCTCTTGCACCACCGCACCTGGTCACCCCTTCCAGTCCCATGCACATCTCTCTGGCTGCAACCCCAATGGGGCCAAGAAGCTCTCCCACCCAATCCAGGAGGGCTAGTTCCTGCTCCCCACATCTGCCCAGATGGCTTTGGTGCCACTTCTCCAGGCCTGTGCATGTGTGCACATGTGTTCACACACGCACAAACACACCCCCTCCAGGAGCACTGGTCTTTGTTGCATCGCTGTCCAGGGGATCTAGTAGAAATCTGTACAACTGAACATGCAGGCCAAGTAGGGCAGCCCAGAGCCCTTATTCCAGGATACTTCAATACACCATAGACTAAGTTTAGCTTTTAGTCATTTTAATTGTAAAAACCAAGACGTTTATATAAATAAGACCGCTGTGTAAAATATGGTTCACCCTTCTACTAAAACCCTTCTCCCCACACTCAAAAAGAATCTAGAAAAGCCAGCAAGGTAAGAAGTACAAAGAGCATGCGGTCCCTGATGAAGTCCTGGCAGGCCAGGTTCCCTGCTAAGGGGGCCTCACGGTGAGCGCACTCCTGGCCCAGGTGTCTCACCGGAGTTCAGCAACAGCTTGAGAACTCGCTCTGCACCATGGCCCTAGCTCTCAGCCACACGGCTGATATGATGGAGGTGCTATGGATGTGTGGCCCGGGCTGGGAGAGAGAAGGGGACAGGAAGACTGTGTGATTCTCATGCCAAAGCCAGGGCTATGAACTGCTGGTCCAGTAAGAAATGGTGGTCTGTTCAGCTCCGGGTTAGGCTGGGGAGGAGAGAGGGAACCCCTTCCCCAACGACAAGGAGAGAAGTGTCCTGTGTCTCATGAGAGGAGAGGCCTCGTCTTAGGCTACTTCTACATAGCCACTAAAGACAAACGAATAGATACTTCCCAGGAGTCTTGGGGGCAGAAGGGCTTTGGGCTCCTGGGATGGAGGGTGGGATCAATCCATTCCAAGGAGAAAAATCCCATGACCTCACCCGTCACACAATCCCACCCCTCATGCACACAGAGAAGCCTGTCCACAGCTCAGGACTCAGAGGGAGACAATGGAGAGCCTGGGAGTGGAGATGTCACAAAATTCACACCTGAATGTGGCTCAGGAAACTGGTACACAAGGACAAAAGAAAACTCGGAACTCTCCTTACAGGAGCCAGGCTCTGCCTAGGGCTGCTCCCCAGTCCAGAGGAGAGGCAGGAGAGCTGCGGGTGCTGTCAGGAGCACTTCCACACACACACAGCCAGGGTTCCCCCGAAGTACAGGTAGAGGAGGTTCTTCACCTCATGGGTGATCTCGAACCCAAAGCCCTCGCCGATCACCACATGCCAGGAGGAGCCAAACTTCTTGTCCATTGTCTCTTTGATCATCTTCGCAGCACTCTGGAAGGAAAGGTGCCAGTCAGGGGCAGTGAGAGTTACAAGCCAGTTCCCACACCAGGAAGGAGAAGCCTGGCTCTGAGCTCTATGCAGAAAATGGCTACTGCCCCAGCCTGCTTTCAGTCTGCCTGCAACATCACCACAGGTGGCTCTGGACAGCACCTCCTGCAGGGCTATGACATGGGAACAGCACCTGGACACCTCATCAGGAAGGAACTGGAGACAGCAGGAGGAAATGGAGGCTTGAGGAAGCCTGGGCTGAGGGCTGGCTGTATCACTCTGGGTTTCAGACCAGCACTAACATCCTCAGCTGTGAACCAGAAAAACAGGGCACAGGGCTGCTGTAGAGACCAGAGGAAAAAACAAAGTGTGAGGGTACAACATGGGCCCTGAGGGGTACCTTGAGGGACGCTGTTATCAGCAAGTGTGGCAGCTCCCAGGAAGACCCCAGTCACAGCAAAGGCCTTCCACTTCCCATGGAGGCTCTTTCCAAAGCTTCCTTCAGCATGAAGAGGTTTAGGGACACTGAGCACCGTGTTCTCATCACCTCAGTGGCTCAGGAAAGAGGCACCACCACTCCTAGCCTACAGACTAGGGCTCGTGTTCAGAGCTGAGAAATGGCTTGTCTTGAGAACACAGCGAGGGAGGGTTGCAGATGGGATGTGGCCATACCACAGCTTCCTTGTGCACCACAGCCTCATGAATGGCACTGCTGGGCTGATACCTGGGACCTTATTCCCAAGACCTGCAGCAACACTTGTGGCCGAGCTGGGACTCCACCCTTTCAGAATGGATGGATGAATTCATGGATGAATGCCTGGCAGACCTCTGCTCATGGCTGGGATGGAGCCCAGAAAGCTGCCCTAGCCAATAACCCACTTGAGTCTGGGGACAGAGGTGGTATGAGACCCTGCTGGCTTCCCTCCCTCTGGGGCTGGTGTGGCCCTTGGTGCCCTGACTAGAACCGACCTCTTCTCTCACTGGCCTTCCAGAACAGTGACCACTCCCAAGCAAGGCTCTAGCTTTGTCCTGGCAGGACTCTGGAGCTGGCTACAGGGCTCTGGAGCCACCCTATCACACACAGGGTCACCAGAGGCACGAGGGCCGCCTGAACTGATGGCAATACCTCGTTGTTGTTGGAGAATTTCTCACAGGCTGTGACACAAAGCTCCATGGTCTCCACTCGCATCTCCTCTGGCATGTCCGAGTGCTAGAGACAGGGCAGGGTGACAAACAGAGAGAGGCTTAGCCACGACCTGGCCTTTCTGGCCAGCCTCTCAGTCTTAAGCTTAAGGCACAGACACTAGGTGGCTTCCCTTGCCCAGTGCTGGGCAAGTGGTTTATCCCTGACTCGGGCCTAAGCTGGAGCGGAGCGCGTGGGATGTAATGAGCTGCATGCTCTGGGGCCCATGCCCCTCTGCAAGGGTCCGTGTTCCCACCAAGGAACATGTGTGGGAGGAGCCCCAGCATGAGAAGTGGGCTATCCTTCAGAACTGGGCCATTCCTGGGGGCCCCACTCCCTCCTGCTCCTTGGTTCTTTTCTCAGGCAGTTAGCCAGGTTCCTCCTCCTCCCATATGGAGGCTAGGGCCTGTCTTCAGCCTCTCCCTCTCCAGCCAAGTCCTTCCACACAGCTGTGCCTTCCAAAAGGCCCCATGTCTTCTTGCCCTCCTTGGGCTCTAGACTCCCAGGTCCCACTGCCCGGTGAACCACACTCAGTTTTCTCAAACATCTCCCAGTTTCCCCTCAAACCTGCTCTGCTTACAGTTTTGCTTCTTGGGAGCAAGGACTTTTTCTTGACTCTGGCCCATCCAGATCCCACCCCCAGTGAGCAGCTTGGCGTCCACTCCAGGGCTTGACCACTGCATCTCCTATCACCGGGCAATGGCAAACTTAGTACTCCCTCTGGGATTAGCTAAGGACACAGACAATGTCACCTACAATTTCTGCCTCACACCACTCCCTGAACCTCTGGACAGAATCCACATTCCTCACCAGGCTCCTTTCAGGGCTGCCAGCCAGGCCTGCACAGACCAGCCCCACCCTCGCTCTGACCCCCCATCTGTCACTCCTCAAGAGCTCAAGCCAGCCAAGTTGATGATGCCAAACTCGTCCCACCAAGCCTCCTGTGTCTCCTGCTTCTTTGAGGGGCAGGTCTTTCCTCGGGTTCCTGCAAGGCCTGCCACCTAATTTGTTGAGGGTCACTGAACTGATTTCTTCCAGGAGCTGGCCTCGGTGGCAGCTCTTCTCTACAGCTTAAAGCCTGCTGCTGTGTCCTTTTGCACAGGCCGGACCATCACGGCCTTGTTTGCCACCATCTCCAGTGTCTAGATCATGCTTGGCAGACAGCAGGTGGCCTGAACGTACTTGGTGAATGAATGAATGGATGAAAGAATGAATCACTGTGACTGTAGGATGTTTGGGTTGGAGCCAGCAGAGCCCTCTTCCTGCAGACTGCAAGCTCCGCCCCCTTGCAGACTGTGGGGCCTGGTGGCCACTTTCCTCCCTCCCCAGGCTTACCCTGACCAGGGGGAAAGTCTGCAGCCGCTTATAGTCAGCCTCCTCTTTCTTCCCTTCTGTCTCTCCCATGATTCTCCCAGTGTGCCCTCAGGAGGAGAGGGTGGGACGTTCAGGAGGCGCTGGCCCAGCAGTCACGCTGCTCAGGAGGCTCGGGAAGCAGGCCTTGCCAACTTAGCGGGAGCAGAAAATGTCTTTCCCCAAGGGGTGCTGCAAAGAACAGGAAAAGCAGGAGGGAAAAGTTGGCTTCAAAACCACACATCACAAATTAGAAATGTCTCAGTGACAATCTGACACCTCCTCATCTCAACGCCTCTGCCTCCTTTCCCAAATGGCCAGCAAGTCTGCAGACGGAGGGTGAGTCAACCCGAGATGCTGCAAGAACACACTGTCATTGTCAAGACAGATACTGATGGTGGTCCAGGCCAGGGATGGAGCTGATAGCTACCAATTAGCAAGGACAGTTTCTGAGAGCCATGCAGTCTGTCTGGTACTAAAGAAGCCAAATGCACAGGTGACCACTGACAATTTGGGCCTGTCACCAAGGGAAGAGTCCCTTCTGCAGGACCCTGCTCTGCAGAATAGGAACAATGTTGTGTGGTAGCTTTCGTAGTACACTGGGTGCCTTGATAGTCCCTGCCTACTCTCCCCAGAGCCACCAGATCCTGTCTAGCTGGTACAGGCGCTGGAAGGTCCAGGTGCTGATACCAGTTCAGCCAATGACCTGGGGCAAAGAAGTTCTCATGAGTGACTGGAGCCATATCAACAGCAGGGAACTCAATGAAACAAGGCGTGTGGAGCAGCACATGTGGGTATCACTTGGTCAGTGGCTGTCCTCCCCTTCCGCTGGCTCACAGGGGACTCAATGAGACAGTTTTTTTTTTTGTTTTTTTTTTGAGACAGGGTTTCTAGACTCTTAAATATACACAAGCCCCTACCTACCAGATCTGGGCATCTAATAATAGGCAGAGCTTTTCACAAACAGACGGACTACACCCTAAATGACCCCCAGCCCTGCAGAAGTCACGATGCTTTTTCACCCCAGTTTCATGCACCCAAGAATGAAATCAAAGGGCTTTCTCTCAGAGGCGCTGACATGCAAGAGTATCCTTCTGCAATTTACATGGACAAATGAGGTCACACATCACAGTAGCATTTTTTGTTGTTTTTTTTTTTTTTTCAAGACAGAGTTTCTCTGTGTAACCATTCTGGCTGTCCAGGAACTCACTCTGTAGACCAAGCTGGCCTTGAACTCACAGAGATCTGTCTGCCTCTGCCTCCTGAGTGCTGGGATTAAAGGTGTGTGCTACCACTGCCTGGTTCAGCCACATTTCTTAAATCTATAGAGTCCAGGCATAGGGGCAGAAGAGCTGCAACCTCTGGCCTGAGGTCACTCAGCTCAGCAGTGAGGAGAGCCACTGGCTACAGCATTGCCCGAGAGCCGCTCCCTCATTTCATGCACACACATGGGCCCTTGCTGCACACTTGACTACAAGTGTGGCTCCAATGACCCGGCAGTGATGGGAGTGCTCCACCTCCCCTCCCAGTGCTCATCGTCCTAGGGTGACTGCGATCTGGCTTGGCTGAGCACTGAGCTTTCTGGGTACTCTTTCCAGGCTGCACTGTGCTCCTAGATCACACCCTCTCTGATGCTGCAGCCACCCCCAGGGCCACACCATTGGTGGGCATCCTCAAGCAAGGCTCAAAGCTTGGCACGGACTCCACCACTCCACGACACTGGTGTTTTCTGATTCCCCAGAGGACAGATGGCTCCACTTATCTTCTAAGTCTGGGCATTTGTACAACTTGGGTTTCAGCAGGTTTTGTTTGTCTCTACATATGTGCTGGCTGTTTACCAAGCACAGTCTCACTGCACTTTCTGGTCAGGTTTCTCGTTCCACAAAATCCAAAGGGCCATTCATCTCTGCTCACTAGTGTTAAAGCCTGTCTCCCAGCCCATCCTATGTTCTTAGCTTTAGTAACACCATGTTATTGCCTCCTCAGCCACCTTCACCAAGGCGGTATGGTAGGGGGTGCCAGGGCTTTCCACTTTGTTTACCTCCGAGAATCCCAAGTGGGAACGACTTCAAGTGTGGAAGCAGCTGCTCCAGCATCTTCCACTTAAGTGTTTCAACTCAAGCTGATTCATCTTCAGAGCTAAGAAAGGCTGCCAGGAGGGGACAGGAGGGAACACAGAACCCGTGGTGCACACCAACCTCAAGGCAATCATACCTATGTTGGCCTCAAAACAGAATCTGTGGGAGGTCACAGGTCTTCATAGGCTACCAGAGTTGCTCTTCAGGAATAAAGAGGGAGAAAGGCTTAGGATAGTTTCAGCATGGAGCGGAGGACGCCAAGTCAGACAGAGGCTGAAGAACTTTCCTGATCCCCTCCCATTGTCCCAGCAGTCCCAAACAGGGAAGACTTGCAGAGGAAGAGGAAGTGTTGCAGATGGTGGGCTTCCACACAGAAAGGGAAGGCAGTTTTATGATCCCGTATCATTCTGGTGCAGCTGCACTCATTCGGCCACGATTAGCGCACCCTGCTAAATGGGTGCTACCTAAAATAGCGCAACTGGGGCTCTAATAACCTTACCAATCTCCCATGTGAATGAGCATGTGCCTGAGAGAGGCTCCATCAGACCAAACCATACTTTTTAATAATGTAAGTGTGCCACGGTCAGCATCTGGCCCAGCATGAACTGGCTCTCCCTCTAGGATTCCTTTAGTGTTCTTCACAGCCCCATTCAAGAGGTACACACAGGGCTGCCCCATTGCTTTGTCAAAGTCAGTGTGCCTGTCTGGAAGGTCCTTGTTCTTTGTGAACCGAGAACAAGTCACCGTTTGTTACTTTGTTTCTTAAGTATTTGAGGAGAATCTTTAAGAGGGTTCGAGTGTTGGGGAGGCTTGGGGAAAATACATAATCTCTGGGGAGTAAAGCCAAAAGTATCTAACAACTGTGTATGTGCATGCCTATGTATGTATGTGGGGGAGGGGTTGTGTATGTGCGTGCATGAATTAGCACACATGCATGCATGTGCCTGTGTGTATGTGCTTATGTGCTGACACTTAATACTTGGAACATCCTTGGCCCTTAGGCTTATATCCCACTACATAGCCAAGAGACTGCAGGACCCTTTTGGAGTGTGTCATGGTGTTTCCAAAGACACTCTGCGGGTGGGTCTGAATTCACATCTGTTCTGATCCTGGCTACTACTCCTGCCCCTAAGCTTCAACTTTGAATCTGGAAGTGGACTGAGCAGGCTCTACCTCACAGTAAGGATCAGCACCTGTTTCTGGGGTGTCAGGGAGAGGAACTTTGCCATCTTTCTTCATAGGAGCCAATCATGTATTTAAGCATCTGGGTCACACTCCACTTCAGCACTAGAGGAAGAGAGTCACCAGGACATCAGCAAAACCTGGGTTGGCCAATGGTGGTGGGGGCGTGGCTACATTCTACCTTCACCTTCATATTCCTTGCTTCATCTCAACACTAAAGGCACTCCCCAGTGAACTGGCTTCCAACTATTAGGGGAGGGGGAGAATCAGGCACCCAGAGCTTAGGAAGGCTTGGTAGCGGCCCAAGAGTGTACAGCCAGCATTTGCAGAGCCAGGGTCTGGGTTCAGATCCATCCTCTTGACTTTATCATGCTTTATTCCTTGGAAGAAATAATTTCAATATGGGATCAGCTCAGTCACCTATCTGTGCCTGCTCTACCCATTCGGGGGTCTCTGCAAGCACCATGGCCAGCAGAGTAATGATCTGTGGGAGGTAAGAAAGTAGGAAGGTTCAATATGACTAAGTAGTGGGACCTGAAGTGGTATATTTTAGGTATATTTGAGAACAGCACAGACTGGTGCGATTTTCCTGGTCATAATCCCATGTGTACAACAAAGCTTAAGACATGACTACATCAAAACTCTCTGTAAATCACACATGGGATGTCTTCCATAAAGAAGGGCTCTGTAGATTGACAAGCTCATGATAAGGGTCTTAGGGAGGATCCAGTGTGGTCTCAGCCACACAGATAGCGTGAAGATCCCCAGGCTATTAGCCACATCTGCTCCCAGTCTTTTGGGTGGGATACTAGGTTTGTATCCCTTTTCTTTGAAGAAGCAACCCTGTGTGTTCAAAATCCCAGTTTCCCCTTGTGCTCATTTGTGAACACAAAGACCTCTGTGCTTCCCACATCTCCTCTTTTAGATTTTAAGAAGAAAATCGTGTCCGTACTAGAGGCAGAGGCCAAGGCTGAACGCCTTGCCTGCATTGTTAGTCTATCATAGCAAGCATAAGAGAATTGTAAGGATAGCTAACAAAGGACCAAAGAAAGGGGAAAGTCATTTTAACCAGGATGGCTACTCAAAGGTCACTTGGGATTTCATTTATCTCTTTATGCAGATCATTGACCATTGACAGTGACAAAATCTGACACATTAAAACAACATATGCTTTAAATTGTGGGCAACCAGGTTTATGCTTGCACAAGAAATATCTACAGTAGCTCTGTTTGGTAAAACTGTGGTTTCTCCATGCCTCCCACATAGCCACACCAGGGACATGGGACATGCACTGTGTACCTTGGTCATCACATCCCTGTTTTTTTCTGACATGTTGACATTCTGCCTCTGGAAACAAACAACAAAGCTGACAAGATGAGGAGGAGAAGGATTCAGGGACACGAGCAGTGAGATCGGGTCCCCTAAAGGCCTGGGTTACCCAGGTCAGGCCAGAGTGAAAACAAACCCAAAGCTACCGTTCTCCAATTTGACTGTAAGGGCATCAGAAATCCATCTTCTTGCTGGGTGTAGTGGTACATGCCTGTAATCCCAGCACTCAGAAGCCAGTCTGGCCTGCACAACGGGTTTCAGACCAAACAAGGCAAAAGAGTGAGACCTTGTCTTTCCCCACCCCCCACCCCCCACCCCCTTGGTTTTTTTTCCAAGACAGGGTTTCTCTGTGTAACATTGGTTGTCCTGGAACTCACTCTGTAGACTAGGCTGGCCTTAAACTCATAGAGATCCACCTGCCTCTGCCTCTACCTTCTGGGATTAAAGGTGTGTGCTGTCACTGGCACCACCACTGGCTAGCATGAGACCTTGTCTTAAGAAATGTTCACGGAAGGAAGGAAGGAAAGAAGGCGAGAGGGATGGGGGTAGGCAGGCAGCAGGCCATCATCTGCTATACACAAGAGATAGGCTGACGGTTAGCTGGGATAACTGCAGTCCTTAAAAAAAAGGACTGCAAATACACACGCTGTCCCGTTTGGGTTAAAAGGTCTTTGCTTATTCTCAATTACACTGAAGTCCAGCGAAAACTTCTTTATGCTTTGATCATGGAGAGGGGAGAGGAGCAATTAAGAGAGACATCTGTTGACTTGTTGAGCTAGGCGACTCAACATTTTCTTTGCTCAACACTTCGTGCTAAACGACAGTGACTCACACAGTACACCCCCATGGACATACCCAATTTTGGAGGAGATCCTAAACATTTTCGTTAAGAGACAAGTAATGAAAAGTCATAACCATGGTAGCCACGGCATGAGGACAGCTGCCTACAGCATGGGTTACACAGGCTCCCGCCCCACTTCTTCCACACTCAGCACAACAGATTTGAATGTAAGGAATTAAAAGTGACATTATCACGAGCTCGAATTGCAGGCAGCTCTGATTTATCTCCTAGGAAACCACTGACAATTGCTAATCAGCCTTTACACCTTACAAGTGATCACGACTTCACCATGTGTCGTGAGTCCAGAGACCCTGGAGCTCAGGGACTTCAGTCTCTTTTACTGTCCCAGAATGAGCAGTCTAGTGTCAGGCACATGGCAGAAGTCCAAAAGATAACCAAAATGGAATTAAATTATATTTCAGTTGCCTCTTGGGAGGGTAGAGGTCCATTCAAAGCCATCCAATAATACTCAACACTGGAGCTGGGACGGCTCAACGTGGTCTGCTGCACCAGCTTGAGGACTTGAGTTCAGAGCCCCAGCACCTACAGGAGAAGCTGGGCAGAGCGGGAGGGAGGGCTCCATGGGTAAAGGTGCTTGCTATACAATCCTGACAACCCGAGTGAGATCCTGAGAACCCAAAGTTGTTCTTTGACTTCCACACCACACTGGGGGTGCATGTGCATGCGCACACCCTCTTTCCCCTCACTCACAAGTGCACACAGCCAGAGGTGGCTGGATGCTCTGCTGTGTGCCTGCAATCCTGATGCTAGAGAGGCAGGGACGGGAGAATCCTGGGACTTGTTGGTCGGTCAGTGGAGAATGATTGAGAAAAATACACGTCATTCATCTCTGGCCTCCATATACATGTACAAACAGGCACTCCAAAACATGAACATGTATACACACGCACAACATTTTAAAAAACATATATTTACTTAATACTCATCTTCAGCCAGAGACCAAGAGAGAAATTCTATATATAGGCTCTCAAAAATTGACACCCCCCCCCCAAAAAAAAACCCTGTCAGACAGGCATTATTCCCCCTGTTACCAATGAGCATATGGCCTGAGCAAAGCAAAGTGACTTTCCACCCACTGAGAAATGAGGGCCGGATCCCACCCCAAGTACACATGACTTCAAGGCTATGCTTTTGACACCTCCACAACTAAGCAAGAAGCAGCACGACCATCATGCGTTTCCAGCATATATGAAAACTGACCCAGGAGTTATGATCCATGGCAGAAAGACATGAAAGAGGAGGAAGAGAACTGGGAGGGGGATGGGAGGGCGTTGAGAGGAGCTCAGAGTGAAGGGGAGCACAGGCATTAGCACTGGCGAGTGGGAATCCGGCCAAGCAGGCATGGGGAGGCTCTCCAGGCAGAGAGGCAATGCAGAGGTTTCAAGAGAAAGTTCAAGGTTTCCTGGGACTGGTGACAGAGCACAGCTGAGAAGGGAGCCAAAGGGCTGGTCTGGGCTGTGGGAGTGCAGAGGGCCCTAAAACCCAGGCATAAAAAAGTGTGGGTTTTGTTTTTTGAGATGGGCTTTCACATAACACAAGCTGGCCTTGAACTCACTGAGCAACTGAGGATGACCCTGAACTGCTGCTGCCTCCCAAACTAGGACTGTAGGACTCACTGTGCCTAGCTTCCTGGAGCTTTCTTGGAAGCTGGTAGCACAGTGGTCACTTGGGTTGTTAGGGGCAGCAGTTAGAAAGCTACAGCAATAGTCCCTATGACAGGCATTAAAGGCCTGGACCAGGATGGCAGCCTTGGGAACAGAAAGGATGTGAAATCCCCATGGAGACAGACTCAAGACAATTTGATAACTTAGTCCTAAGTTGAACAGGTCTGGCAGAGCATGGAGAAAGCCAGGTAGACCAGATGGGCAGGTAGAGAGAGAAGCAGGCCAGCTTGATTTTAACAGCTGGCAAAATGCAAATGAAGACATCTGATCAGGAGTACAAGATGACGGAATCAAGGATGGTTGGAAAAGGGAAGCCATGAGTCCAACTCTCACATCACCAGTTTTCTCCGCCCCTGCCAAGAATCCCCAGCCACAAAGTGCAGGGAAGAGATCAAAGCTGGAGAGCAGATGTGGGGTTCATCTACAGATCATGGGTACTAAGTGGTTCCACAGGAAATCTCTGGGTTCCTCCCAGGAGGGAAAGTGTGAGATAGTAAGAAACAAAGGAAGGAAAATAGGGGATTGGGAAGATGGGTCCATTTGTAAAACGCTTGCTACAGGAATGCCTGGGTTTTCTTCCCAGCACTGTGTAAAAGCTGTGTGTTACAACCATGACTATGATCCCAGCATTGGAGAGGCAACTGGAAGGATCCCGGGAGACCATTAGCTTTCTAACCCAATAGTGAGCATCAATGAGAGACCCTGCTTCAAAAAATAAGGTGGAGAGAGGCAGGCGGCTGTGGCTCACACCTTTAATTTCAGCACTGCGGAGGCAGAAGCAGGTGGATCTCTGTGAGTTCAAGGCCAGCCTGCTCTACAAAGTGAGTTCCAGGGCAGCCAGGGCTGTTACACAGGTAAACCCGGTCTCGAAAACAAACAGAAAGAAAAAAAAATTATATAAGGTGGAGAGTGACTGAGTAAGACACCAAATGTTCACCTCTGGCCTCCACATTAACATGTACACACAGGAACATATATACACACAGAAGAAAAGAAAGCTAGCAAGTACTGAATCTACACTGACTGGGCCCTTTGTACAAAGGAGATGGGCTTCGGAATAATAGCTTTACATTATAGATCTATCGACTGATGCCCAGAGTGATCTCAGGTAACTTGCCAGGATTCGTACAAGTGGGAATCCAACTCCAGTTTGCCAAGTTTTTTGCATTACATAAAAGGGGAGAACACATTCTCCGGGAAGCTGACAGTTGAGTCCAAGAACATCATCCTAGGAAGTCCGAGTCCAAAAGGCCTTTGCGACGATTCAACCTAATTTCGCCTTCATAGATGGGGAAACTGAGTTCCCCCCCCCACCAACGGGCAATAGTCAGCTCAGAGTCCCAGGACGTCGCCAAATCCCCGGTCTAGGTAGGACAAGGCGCTTGTGACCACCAGCCAGCAGCGCGGTGGCGCGGGGACAAGGCGCTGCGGGAGTTAAGAACAAGAAGGATACGAGGGCACGGAGCTAGACAGGGCCCAGGGTGGGTGAGCAGAGGCAGCCTGCACAGTGAGGGTGGGAGGGCACAATGTCACTGTCGAGCTCCGCGGTCCTCTACGTGGGACAAGAGGAGGTTCTGGGCCGGGAACCGCAGGCTGGGGATCAAGGTGGGACCTCGCGCTGGGCCAAGCCTCGTCCGCCCGGCGCATCCTCCCTCCATCCCTCCGAGCCAGCCCTCCCCA